TACAATTATTATTGTTAACTGATTACATTGGACCTATATTCAAAAGTTTTCTTCCTTCTGGGCCTGATCTTCCAATGGGCTTGATCTTCCTCGGTGGATCCTCCAGGTTCGGCCCATTCCGGGGTGCTTTGGCATGGGCCATACTTCAATTGTTCGACCCGATCCCGTTCCAGCGAACTATATCCAGCCCATGCCACTTGCTGCATCCTCAACTACCTAACAGTTCGAGCTTTTGGATAAATGGGCAAGTGCCCACCCGTTACAGTTGGTATATAAGCCAGACCCAATTCTTGATCCGGTGTCACGTCAAGCGCCCAACCTGGAAGGCGTTCGGGTGAGCATCCCAGGTAGGCAGGGTGGCCCGTGCGGTAACGCGGGCGTTGCGAGTTTGGGTGGGGGATAATGTATAAGGATCATTTGTTCCACATCAGAATTGGATGGAAAAGTGATTGGGTATAAATGGGTGAGAATGTAACACTACTTAATAATTCGAGTTTTGGGTAAATGGACAAGTGTCCACCCGTTTCAACTATACATATGATTAAATTTGAATTGCAACTAAAAATTGACAGTTTGAGTAAACAATTGAGACTTAATTACATCTTTAGTGTTTCAAAAGTAGAATGAGACTATGACAGTGATGGTCATGATAAAGAATTAAAAACAACCTTGTGTTTGTGGATTGTGTAAAGTCTCATGCTTTTGTTTTTTCACAGTAAGTTGATGATATATAACTTATTTTAATGTGAGATAGTATGGACATTATCAATGGCTTAGTTGGTAGAGCGTCTAACTCTTTGAATAGGTGTATTTGTGTTTGAATCCTCTCTCTCCTTATGTTGTCTTAGTTAGTAGAACGTCCAACTCTTCAAGTAGGTGCATCGGTGTTCAAATCCCCCTTCTCTCTAGGTTGCTGAGATCAAGAAGAAAAGAAAAAGAGATGGCATGGTTTGGTGTCATATTTGGACTGCAGTTGAACTTAAAGAGTTTAAGAGTTAGACAAAAATCAGTTTGTTTTATTTGGACTAGTTGATCTAATAATCAGATTTACTCACATGGAATTTGAGTGAGAATGGGCTAAACAAAAAATGGTGATCATAATCATGATCCCTTATATTATGTTTGGTTAGAGGGAATGATCGAGGAGGAATGGATGAGAGTAGGGATAAAAGTATTTTTTCGTGTTTGGTTAGAGAAAAGAGAAAAGAGGGAGGAAGCAATATGTGATGAAACATCTTTCATTGCTTTGTATTTTTTTATAGGACCAAAATTGAGAGGAATGGGATAGAGAAAAAGAGGATAGTTACTCTTATTTTTAACCTTCCAAATATTTGGAATGGATATCTAATAATCTAATTTTATATTAAGGTATATGGTTAAAAAATATAAAACCTACTTTCTTTGATTTCAAACCAAAAATAAAATAAAAAATTGACACTCTATTAATCCTTTTTACTATCCATTTCATCTAAGCAAAAGAAAATGAGGTTGACACATTCTCTTATTTGGGGGCTCATTCATCCCTTCCGCTTTCATTTTAATCAATTTTTTCATCACTCCTACCATACGGAACATTAATCTTGATGAAGGTACGCTTCAATAGCAAATATATAATACAACAAAAAAAAAAAAAAAAAAAAAAAAATTACCAACATCTTAAGCGGACACTTTTTGAGTTTGTTTAATTTGTCACTTAAAAAATTATACTTCAGAACTCAAAAATAAAAATATTATTTTCAAAAACCAATAAAAGATGATTCTTTAAAAATAGACATTTATTTATTTTTAAACTGAGTTTTTTCAGAAAAAGTAATGCTTCAAACTAGGCCAAGTCATAGGATGAGATTGGTTCAACAAGATCTTCACTCAGATGCGGCCCAATACTAAACCGGTAAATCAGCTGAGATAAATAATTATATGAGATAACTTCAAATTATATATATCCAGGACTCTCTATTAAATTATCTTCTCTTTCGAATACCTTTCCGTCGTTCCATCCTAGGTCTTCCAGAGGAACCTCTGTTTTGTCTGTGTCACTCTTCATCTTATCATCAAACACAAGGTAATTATTTTCCTTTTCTTTCTCTCTCACACACACACGTGCGTATGTATTTAATTTTTGTTTTTTTCTTTTTGTGAATCTCCTTTTCCATAATTTAAATTATCCTTATATTATATAAACCTTATGAAAACGCGTCACTGACTTCGACCATTTTATGGAGTTGGGTCCTGAAAATGAAACAAAAGTAGCGGAAATGAGAATGCTAAGGTGGATGATTGGAGTGACCAGAAGAAATAGGATCATTATTGACACCCATTATCCAGAAAATTAGATAGAGTATACTTAGATGGTTTGACCATATATATTGGAGTCCTGTATAAAGTAAGAGACTGAGAGGATGACCAAAAATAATATGGATGAGATCATTAAAAATGACTTAAAAAATTTTAAATATAGTAAGTGAAATGGCATGTAATTTGGGGAGGCAATTTGTGCCCTAAGGGTATTCTACGATGTCGATATGACCAGACTTGTTTATTAAACAGGTTAGGGGTGTTAACCTAGTTAATGACCTATTTACCAAATTAGACATTATATTATTTAGATTTTTTATAATACTCAAAAAAAAAAAAAAAAAATACATTAGCTAAAGACCTAATGCATATTTTTGTTAGGATTCATGTTGAAGTGACCTAATTGTCCATAACAATTGGGTCTAAACGGGTAATGAGGAGATACACGAGCGATATTAACACAATTATGAAACTTTTAGTTAAACGGATTACACGTGTTGAACTCCTTGATCCTAACACAACATGATTAATTAAACGGGTTAATCATGTCGACCCGTTTATGACCCAAACCCATTTAAGGTAAACCCAAACCCGTTTATCTCATGTCGCGATTTAGTTGTTTTGGTGGGTCGTGTCGAATTTTGCCACCCCTACATGTAATAGAAATGATTGGAGAAAGAGAATTCATGTGGCCGACCCATTCATATGGTATTAAAACAAGGATGATGACAACAATGAGTCCTTTACTTTGGAAGTAGTCATAGATGGTCTCGACTCACATTGCTTATTAGACTTTTTAATTTTAGAAATCAGAAGCCTTTTGAACTAGTAATAATCACTAGTAGCCTATTTAGGATTTGTGTAATGATGGCTCGGTTGATTCTGCCATTCAAAGGTTCAGGTTTACCCAAGACATCTTCTACTGTGATTATCCAATCCCATTTATGTGATTTTTTTATTATTCGGTTGATTCCTGAAGTAAATGAATAGATGTAAATATTTTAATGCTCTAACTGGTTGGGTTTGAAGTAACTGTTTTGATCTAAGAAGTATGGACACGGACACGGACATTATACGATACGGATACACCGACACGCCAAATTCTAAAAAAAGTAGGTTACAGACACGACATGGACACAACTAATATAAATATAAATTTTCATTTAATATATCTATTGATTAATACAATTATAGAACTTTAATTTATAATTTTTCTACTAAAGTTACATAAATTAGAAGGTGAAGCTATTCAAATATCAAAAAATAAAATATTATATTATATACGATATTACTATCCTATATTGTCACCGTAGTTATTTTTTGTTCATATTACATAATGTGAGATGTGTTTAACGTCAATTATTTATGTATTTAGTTTTAAAAACGAGGTTGGACACTTTGATGTACGTTCATAATGCTGTTTCTAGGACTGTCATATGTTTGTTTTATATAAGAGGAAAAGTGCGGGATATGTTGTCGAGTGACCAAGTTTTCGAGATGTGTTGACCAAATGTGCAAAATAAAAATAAAAAATATTTTTCTTATGCGCAAAAGACCTCTGGAAAGCTTAGTAAATTATGGAAATGGCCATGAAGTGTCAGAGACGTGTCCAGGTTAAATTATGGATATGGCCACAAAGTGACCATGGAGTGTGGGTGTCCAACACGGACACGGCACCTCATAGAAGAGTGTGCCTCTTAGTTTTGATTTCTTGACTTTTCTTCTGCTATGCAAGTTGTATTTAACGATCAAATGAAGCATAAGGGTTCAATATTTGATGCTAATATAAATGCATTGATTGTCACTATATCTGTTGTATGTTGTTTTGGACTGTACAAGTGTTTTTCATGTTTGTTTTTCCTTCATAAGATTGGTTTTATCTCTTTCTGGGATTGTTTAGTGTTTCTTAGGATTTTAGATGCTGTTGGATTAAGATTATTTTGAGTTCACAGTACTTTCTAGCATTTCAATGCAAATTTGATTTCAAAAGCTATAGAAATACTTACAATATGATAAACAAATGATGCTTTAAATTATCGCATGGAAGCTTTAGACACTGATTCTTTTTCTTTTTTTCATTAGACAGATTTTCTCACTGCAGATTACTATTGTCTAGTTTTTAACTTTTTAAATAGAACTATGTGCTAGTATTTCCCCTACCCCGGTCTATGTATTTGCTTTTGGGGAATCGTTTTTTACACATGCACACCTTCTTTTCTCACTCTGCTGCTTTACGATCTGGGACTGTTTTCAATTGGTAATGTGGCTGTTTGATCAATTTGAGGTACAAAATTTGACAGGCAACTCTCATAGTGGTTTCTTTTTGTCCTGTTGCAGCTTCTGGCCACTTGTTGCATTAGTTCCATCAGGAATTCAGCAAAGAATCTCTCTAGATATAGGCAATACTTTGATGTAGAGGTTTGTACTTTTCATGAAGCTTTTACTAGCAAGGCTTTTGATGTGTTATTGTGTTTTTACATTTGTTTTAGTCATTTACAAGCTTTGGAATTTGAATGAGTTTTGCTAAAATCTCATGATCTATTCCTATTACCAGGTTACCCGCTGGAGCACTTATCGGTTTCCATATTTTTCATTGCCTGTAAGATGTTATAGTTAATTCTTCATTACCCTCAGAAGTTCACATTATGCTGCTTCTGTTGATATTTTTTTATTGATTATGTGGACTCTTCATCCTATTTCAGAGGGCCAAGCAATTCAGTGGGAATATACATTACCAAAGCAAGTTGAAGAATCCAAAATGGACACTCCAAAAGAAATCTTCCTAAAAGATTACAGGATACCCGATTATTACTTTGATGCGGTATATAAACACTTATTTGAATTAGAATATACATTGTTTATAAGTTTGGAATAGTGGCATTGGCTTGTATTCTAATGTACATACGGAATTATTACTCAGGTGGACTTGAAAATTTCACTTGGAGAGGAGAACACAATTGTCTCTTCCAAAATAACTGTCTTCCCTAGGGTTGAAAGTGAGATATTGCTTCCTTTTTTGGCCTTTTGTGTTCTATAAAATATATTATATTATTTGGTGTGTTATGTGTTTTTTTTCCATATTCTGGGGTAATTTCCATTTCACTGCACAAATTTATTAGGCACACTCCAAAAATTTCACTTATTTTTATTCTACAAAAATATCAAGTCGCTGTTGATATACTGCTTTTCTGTCCAGGTGTCATTCCTGAGTTTGAATTCTAAGTAATCCGTTGGTAGGTTCTTTCCGTAACTAACTTATATTATGGAATAGGTTGTTCTTCTCCACTAGTACTGGATGGGAAAGATCTGAAGCTGGTTTCAATCAAGGTCAACAGCAAGGAACTAAAGGTATGTTCTCTGTACAGTACCTTATCCAAAGTTTCTGTTTGAATGTTTCAACTGATACCTGTATACATCATTCACCAAAATGGTTGCCAGTGCTTATTTCCAACTTTCTAGTAGAGATGCATTTATTGGTTATGCTTCTCCCTATTTTCATTGCCATACCAACTTATATATGCAACTCAAATCAATTACCATGTATATACCTTGTCAAAGTATATGGAACTTTTTTGAGTTCAAAGTTTACAAGGTCAACTTTACGTTTCCCAACTGCATTATATTTTATATGCTTCAGGAGGAGGATTTCAACTTGGACTCACGCCATCTGACTCTCCAATCACCACCAAATGGTAGATTTACATTGGAAATTGTGACTGAGATATACCCACATAAGAACACATCATTGGAGGTGGAAACATCCTTTTGTTATTCATATTATCTTATTGTGCTGTATGACTCTTTTCTTTCCTTACAAACAACAAAAATTCCTACTGCAGGGGCTTTACAAGTCGTCGGGGAATTTCTCTACACAATGTGAAGCAGAGGGTTTCAGGAAAATTACATTCTATCAGGTTATTAGTTGGAGCAGTGATTAATTGTGGATCATCATTTTGGGAGATGTTAATCTGCTATGCACTTAGTTGATGATTTCAATTTAAATTATCAGGATCGTCCAGATATTATGGCAACATATACTTGTCGAATTGAAGCTGATAAGTTGTTGTACCCAGTGTTGTTGTCTAATGGAAATCTAATAGAGAAAGGAGACCTTGAGGTGAATTTCACTTAATTGTTCATCAAATAGATGTTTGTCATGCTATATTACTACTACTGTTTCTAATTTCGTTCCACTTCAGGATGGCAGACATTATGTTCTTTGGGAGGATCCCTTCAAGAAACCTTGTTATCTGTTTGCTATAGTTGCTGGACAGTTGGAGAGCAGAGATGACACTTTTACCACTTGTTCAGGCCGTAAGGTGTCCCTGAGAATCTGGACCTCTGCACAGGACCTACCTAAGACTGCTCATGCCATGTATTCTCTTAAGGCTGCAATGAAATGGGATGAAGATGTCAGTATCACTTTTCAGCTGTCCTTTGGATGTGGAATTTAGTTTACCTCATTAGCTTTACTAATAATTAATTCTCTCTCTCTCGTTGCCTTTTCAATCAGGTTTTTGGTCTTGAGTATGACCTGGATCTCTTCAATATTGTGGCTGTTCCGGATTTTAACATGCAAGTTGCAAAATACATTACACTTCTCACACATTACCTTCTTAGGGTGACCAGAATTTTGATGTTTTGTGGTTTCTTTTTTTAAGCCGCTGAACCCCCTTTTCCCCTTCTATTTGCCAGGGGAGCCATGGAAAACAAAAGCCTGAATGTATGCTTCCCCAGATATATTAACTCATTACTTGAAAACTTCTGTTTCATCTTTCTAAGAATTTGCTTAATTGACATTTGACAGATTTTCAATTCGTCACTCGTCTTGGCATCTCCAGAAACTGCTAGTGATGCAGATTATGCTGCAATTTTGGATGTTGTTGGTCATGAGGTAGGTCATTTATCTCGTAAAGGGCGTGAAATTTGGACATTACTTTTTCTTAGTGTTGATGAATTCAATTTATAATGATTTGGCTTCATTTTTTGTTATATTGCAGTATTTTCACAATTGGACAGGCAACAGGTGTGCTTATATCCTTAAGTACTTGCTTCAAGTACTAAAACATGTTCTTTGGATAATACTTTTTATCTTGATGTTCCCCAGTTCTCCGATTGTGTGCCTGCACTTCTCTGATTCATGATAAATTGTCATTATATCATTTTGTGTGTGTGTGTGTGTGTGTGTATGTCTTGTAACTCTCACGATCTGTTTATGGGGATTGAAATATGTATCTTTCTTGAGGTGTTCTTTGATTTGTTTTACTGGACTTGACAAAGCTCCTGTTAGGATTAACAGCTACTAATTAGTGCAGAGTTACATGTCGTGACTGGTTCCAGCTTAGTCTAAAAGAAGGTCTTACTGTTTTCCGTGATCAGGTGCAAGCACATTTTTAGTTTCCAAGTGACAATTGCAAACCACCAGAAGTTCTAGTCTCACTTGGCTTTCTCGTTTCTAATGCTTTGGCAGGAATTTTCATCTGACATGGGGAGCCGCACTGTAATACGGATCGCTGATGTTAAGAGTCTTCGAAATTATCAGTTTCCAGAGGTTTCTTCTCTCTCTTTCTCTCTCTCTCGTGTGTGTGTGTGTTGTGGGGGAGGGGAGGAGTACGGGGTGAGTGGGTTGGTTAGAAAATCACATTTCTAATACCGTAGAAGGACTACTTTGAGTGTCCATGAGTGTGCAATTAATGTTTTGGTTTATGGAGTGGGTTTAACATGCTGCATCGAAGTGTTGATGTACTCCTGATTTTCTAGGATTCTGGTCCCATGGCTCATCCAGTACGGCCACATTCTTACATCAAGGTTTGATGTCTTTTCCTTTGTTTAAGGATTCCTTTAGCAAATTATTAGTGTGCTCATTACTCAGTGCCTACCCTGACATTGTTGCCAACATTGTTTACAGATGGACAACTTCTATACAGGCAAAATTTATGTTCTTAGACTTGTAAAGATTGGCTTTCTGTTATCTGATATCACTCAAATTACATGTCTTATTTTGGCGACTTGGGGATGCTTTTGCTTTTAACTGGGCATCTACAAATGTTTGGCTGGCTGTTGTGTTAAATGGTGGGATATTATGGCTAATTTGAGACTTCTGCTACCTCATCTTGCAGCGACGGTATGTTCTGACAGTTGCTCTTTGCATTTTTGTACTCTGTTTCTTTTGAAAAAGATATCTAACTGTTGTTTCTTTGATTTCTCTTGTATCATCCTCTTGTTTATAGATTTATAATAAGGTATGAGACTCTGATCTCTTTGTTCTATTCTCTCTCTCTCTCTCTCTCTATATATATATATATATATTGTGTATATGTGAGTAAACAAGGACCATTGTTAACCCCTTATTCTTCTTATCAGGGACCTGAAGTTGTTAGGATGTACAAAACCTTACTGGGAAGTCAAGGATTCAGAAAAGTATGGATGGGGATGTGTCCTGAGACTGATGATTATTTCTTTCAACGCCTCATCTTCATGATTTCAATAAACTTATTGTTCACGTTTCAGGGGATGGATTTATATTTTAAAAGACATGATGGGCAAGCTGTCACATGTGAAGATTTCTTTGCTGCCATGCGAGATGCAAATGATGCAGATCTTTCTAATTTCTTGTTGTGGTATGTCACTGGCTTTTACTACTTTTGTAGTGAGTTTTAACTTTTTATGATGCTATACTTTTTTCTGAAAAATAATAATAAACAGGTATTCCCAAGCTGGGACTCCTCTGGTGAAAGTTACTTCATCCTACAATGCTGAAGCTCGTACTTATTCTTTAGTGTTTAGGTACAAGCTCTCAAGATTTGTTGCAATGTTTTCTGCCTTTTTGGCTAATGCCTTTTTCATAACCCTTGTGTTTAATTGGGGATTTTCTCAGTCAAGAGGTGCCACCAACCCCAGGGCAGCCCGTGAAAGAACCCATGTTCATTCCTGTGGCTGTAGGTCTGCTGGACTCAAGTGGTAGCGACATTCCTCTCACTTGTGTTCATCATGATGGGAAGTTGGAGTCCGTTGCTAGCAATAATCAACCTGTCTACACTACAGTTCTTAGAGTAACAAAGGTTTGTTCAGAATCCCCAAGAATTCATGCTTGCTCCTACTGCACCTCTTTATGCTGTCTGCCCATGATCTAGGACTTAGTAATGGTACCTGTTTCAGGCATAGGCTTTACATTCTTTTCCAGCATCGGAATTCCTTTAATCTTGGGGCCAAATGTCTAATGGGTAGTTATATCGTATACTATTTAATATATTTTAATCAGGCACATGAATCTTGAGCTACAGCTTGGTTTGGTTGGGCTCAACACGAGAAGCTGCTTAAACCCATACGGTTGATCATCGGTTGAAATCAACCCGAACAATTCTGCCCTAGCTCTGGCCACTCCTAGACATGGCTGAGATTCATGTAGCTTTATGACCAATTTTCCTTAAATCATGAGATGATCCATTGTAACAAGTGTGACCCAAGTCTTCTGGGATATTCATCACCTTGTAGACCTTTTTCTCTGTACTATTGTATAAGCAAGTGCTATATATATTGGCTTGGTCACTAGGAAGCATGAGCAATGGTTGTTAATCAAGCAATGGACTCTCTAGAGATGATATTCGGGCTTTTGCAAGATAGCACCAAGAATGATTGACTGCTCTGGCACGAAGCAAGTCGACGGCCGAATCGGTTTAGGATTGATTCCCATAAGTCGGTGTGAAGTCCAGACCAATCTGATGATAATGTTTTTCTTCTTTTTGTGGGATGACCCAAATGGGTTTTGTTGGCAATCGTTGTCGTGTGTCTAGGCTTCAGTTGATGTGCAAAAGAAGAGATGAAAAATAATAGTTTCTAAGGTTTGAGTATGTTTTTTTTTTATAGGTAAGGTTTGAGTATGTTGAATGTTATGATTCTTAGAAATAAGTTGGTGTATTGAATGAGTACATGCAGTAGCAGAAAATAAAAAGGTTACGCCTGAAATAGTGGAGAAAGATGAGCAAAGAAGAGACCTTATTGAATCCCAGAAGATTTGGCATAATCTGAACACAAAAACATTAAGGTCCTTCTCTACCCGATTCTAGTTTGCTGACCCCAATACTGAAATCAAATAAAGTCAGTCATTTCTGTAGTTGAGCAATGGACAAATTCTTTGCTTCGTAACCAAATTTCTCATGAATGATGAGAAAATATAATTAAAATATTGCTATCAAAATCTTTAATGGCCGTATTTGTTAAATATCAAGCACCAAAAGAAGATTAAAACATTCTTTCAATGAAATATATAGAGAATCTCTTCTACCTTATGATATTAGTTTCAGTAAACAAGATGCAGATTGCTATTAATAGCCTAGGTTCCACTCTAATCATTGACGAATAGGTTAATGGTTTTCCCACTCGTATCTTCAATACCAACTGAGTTTTTGTTGGTATTAAGCAGAAAGAAGAAGAATTTGTATTCGCTGATATATCTGAGCGGCCGATTCCATCTCTATTACGGGGATATAGTGCTCCTATCCGTCTCAACTCTGATCTCACTGAGAGCGATCTGTATTTCCTCCTTGCTCACGATTCAGATGAGTTTAACCGGTATGCATTTACCATAGCAATCATTTCTTTTCTGTTCTGCAATTAATTAATGGACTGATATTTAACAGATATACCCTTTTTTCCTGTATGTGTCTTTTTTCTTTTTTGTGGCTTTTAGCTGGGAGGCAGGGCAGGTGCTGGCAAGGAAGCTGATGCTGAGCCTAGTGGCTGATTTCCAACAAAACAAGCCATTGGTTCTAAATCCACAGTTCTTGCATGGGGTCAAAAGCATGCTCTGTGACTCAAGCTTGGATAAAGTAATAGTGACAAGTGTTTTTTCTTTTATATTTTTATTGCAAAGAGAAGTGAATGTGCTAATCAACTTAATATGCTAATTATTATATAGGAATTCCTTGCAAAGGCAATAACTCTGCCTGGTGAAGGGGAGATCATGGACATGATGGAAGTTGCAGATCCTGATGCTGTTCACGCTGTCCGGTCTTTCATCAGAAAGCAGCTGGCTTCTGAGCTGAAAGAAGAATTTCTCAGCACGGTATGCATATTTCAAGAAGACAAGAACTTGTATAAATATTAGATTCTCACTTTTCTAGTTATTTATTTATTTTTAATATTTTACTTAAGTTATCCCTGGAGATTTAACTTGGGTTCCAAACGTCACAGGTCAAACACAACAGAAGCTCAGAGCAGTATGAATTTAACCATACCAATATGGCAAGGCGTGCTTTAAAGAATATCGCCCTTGGTCTGTGTTGTTAGAACTCTACATTGTTAGATTGGTGTAGTAAAGCTTAATTAACTAATTGTATCTTTGTTTTTTGTATAGGATATCTTGCGTCACTTGAAGATCCAGAACTCACCGAGTTGGCATTGCGTGAATATAAAACTGCCACTAATATGACCGACCAATTTTCAGCTCTAGCAACCATAGCCCAGAACCCTGGTAAAACCCGTGATGAGGTTCTGGTTGACTTCTATAGCAAGTGGCAAAATGACTTCCTGGTAAACCTCTGCTATAACAGTTCTTACGTCACCTGAATGAAAATTTGAATGTGCTATGAAAGTGCCTTACAGAGCTGAGCTCTTGGTAAACCTCTGCTTTAATAGTTCTTACATCACTTGGGGAAGAGATTTTCCCTTTATTGTTTAATTTTTTTCCGTACATATTAAAGTGCTTGTAAAGCATAGTTGAGCTTTTGGGCTTGCTTTTGCTTTTCCTGTTTGTCTGAAAAATGTGACTTTTAATGTGAGATCTTTATGTACATTGACCTTATTTAGTTGTCAGCATACATTGAATCATCAAATTTGCTTGTGTTTTTCTAAACTGACGATTAGCATCAAGTTAGCAGGTTACTTAGAAGATGAGTTATGCACTTATTAGCTTTAAGGCATGTTTGGAGGCAACTTTTAAGGAAGAAAGGCTTATTATAACTTTTACGATGAAATTTAAGTTTTTCTCAAGTTCCGATTGACAATAGGATGTTTTGAACCCTTGACCATACCCCTCCATTTTAACATATCTTAAAGCTTCATCTTGGGGCTTGGGGACATGGTTTGGGGAGTGGGTGGGTTAGGTTGTAAGGTTATGTTGTGGGGTTAATTTATCTTGTTGAATTTGAATGACTGCACCCCTTCACACCCACCAAGACCCCAAACCCAACCCAATAATCCTTCCCTCCATGCATGAGAAATTCTTTTTAATTTAAGTTGCTACTGGATGCTCTGTTTAGAAGTCATTCTTACCGCCAGTTACCGGACTTCTGTTCCATTTATAAAACTCTGATCCTAGTGCAGTGGTCTCTAGTAGCTACCTTGTAAAGGCAGCTTAGCTTAAGTGCTGCATAATTATCAATAGGATTCATAACATAAAAAGCTAACAAATCCTCACTTACAAATGAACTAGCTTTTCATTTTCAATTTCTTTTTGGTCCCATCAATCTTATAACATACAAACCCCCAACATGCGTGCACACACACACATACATATTTTTATCAGGCAAACCAAAAAATCTAGTAATGCTAGGGGGAGGGGAAAACTAATGTTAACGTGGGTAGAGTTTGGAAGGAAGGATATGATAACAATTGGTTTGACTGATGCTATGGCCTTGGATAGAGAGGAATGGAAATTAGAATTCATGTAGCTGACCCCAAGTAGTTGGGGAAACGGCTTTGTTGAGTTTGAGGCAAACCAATAATCTGCATCATACTAGTATTAAGTTACCATCAGGTATAGCTGTTTGTCATCTATAAACTTTTATTGATTCAAACATGAAGTAGAATTCTTCTTCTTTTATTGTTTCTTGACACTTTTTTGATAGATAACAATGGTGTGAAAAGCATTTCTCTCCTAGTATTAATTTGATTTTAGCCGATGTTTATGCCTTTTAATTTTCATGTACTTGGAAACTTTGTGCACATTGTTTCTTAATGGATTTTTATTGCCTGTTGATATTGACATGTTTGTGGTAAAAAAATAAATAAAAAATTTAGAGCCCCCCAAACAAAAGAAAAAAAAAAAAAGAAAAGAAAAGGAAAGAATGTCAGAGCTTCTTGGCTATTCTTGAGAAATAATTTTGTTGTCATCCTCTTCAGGTTGTAAATAAATGGTTTGCCCTTCAAGCTGGGTCTGACATTTCTGGTAATCTTGAGAATGTTAAGAACCTCCTAAAGCATCCAGCATTTGACTTGCGTAATCCAAACAAGGTACGCGATCTCTTTCTCTTTCACACACAAATGGAAATGTGAGTGCATGTGCTCGTGCATACACATGGTGTGTGTGCTTGCACTCACGCACACTCTTATAGTTAAACTACTCCCTTTCCACATGGATGTTACATTTTACTTTATAACTATATTGAACTCGACTCCAAATGTGCAACAGGTAGATTCACTTATCGGAGCCTTTTGTGGATGTCATGTGAATTTCCATGCGAAAGATGGGTCAGGCTACAGATTCTTGGGAGAAATGGTGGTGCAGCTTGATAAACTGAACCCTCAGGTCTGTTGAGAAGTCTCTTACATCAATTGATTCTCTCATCTTTCCTTGCATCTCATTCATAATTGAATCTCTCTTCGTGGATTGCAGGTGGCTTCCCGCTTGGTGTCATCCTTCAGTAGATGGAGGCGCTACGATGAAACCCGGCAAAGCCTCGCGAAGGTATTAAGTTGTTGCCACAATTGTTCCATATTTGTGATGGTTGATTTATATATATATATATATATATATATATATATATATATATATATATCATATTCTTGTTTCCATATTCTGCACACTCTAAACTAACACTTAATTGTTTCTATCAGGCACAGCTGGAGATGATCATGTCAACCAATGGACTTTCAGAAAATGTGTTTGAGATTGCCTCAAAAAGCTTAGCTGCTTAAATATTTTAAATATTTTCCCTTCTACTTGATGCAAGTTGCCATGTGTGTGTGTGTGTGTGTTGTGTGTGTGGTTGGGGTTGTGGTGGGGGGGAGATGGGGGGGGGGGCAATAAATTTTGTGAAGGGTTCATTTAGTTAAATAAATGGATTTGAAATCAAGAAATTTGAGTTTAGATAGAAGGTTGGTTGTCGAAGTTGGATTTTAAAATTCAAATGGGGTTGCAATAGATGTATAGGAGAAATATTTTATTAAGAAAACAACTTGAATTCTTCATGTTAGTTTTTGGATGGAACTTATATAAAATGTGTATATATATATATATATATATATATAAAAGGTTATGTGAACCAATTTGAAATGTTATTACCAATGGAATGATATGATCTCCCATTTTCAAATAGGAGAATCTTGAGATATTATGAATGCATTAAATTATGAGTTCCTATAACTACATTAAATTAAAATTAAAGAAGTCTTATTTTTATTTATAGAAAGATATTTGTGTAGACCAGTATTTCTTTATAAGTATAAGGGAGAAAGTGGAGAGAGTTCAAGTCTCCATAAAGTATCCAATAATTTTTCCTAATAAAATAAAATGTTGATATATGAGCTCTTTTGATGTGTGATATCATGGTTAGCTGTCATATTTGGACTGCAGCTGAACTTGGAGTGAGTAATGACAGTTTGTCTCATTCGGATCAGTTGAACAATCAGGTTTGCTCATGTGGAGTTTGAGATAGGACTAAACCAAAAATGTTGATCAGGTCAATTGGTCATGTCCGCACTTCACACCCATATGCTATGAAAATAACAAGCACTTTTGTCCGAATCATATTATCCATGCCTCACCTGTCAGCACATGTGGTCCTGCGTCGAATGATTATGAAGTAAATTTTTTTTTAATTTTTTTATTTATGGTTGAATTGAATTGTTTCAATCACGTAATTTCTGAATTAAAAAATTATGTTTTCGAAAGTAAATTAACGACATATAAATTAATTACAATTATAATTGAGTTTTCAGAATCAAACTGAGTTTTGTAAAAAAATTTATTTTAAAATTATTTTCAAAATTACAACCCACTGTTACCAAGTCCTGAGATGGGACTGGTTCATACTCACTTTTGAACCTCAAACCCAAGCACACCACTGTTAGAGTATTTCTAATGGGCTCTCAAATTCAAAATATAACATGTGGATGAAAATAAGGTACTATAATGGCCTCTCATATTTTGAGATTCTCAAATATAACAGCTTTCAAATAGTCTCCCAAACTCAAAATATAACAAGTGGAAGAAAACAGACACTCCAACGGATTCTCTCAAAAGATCTCACATATTTTGAGATTATCAAAGTTGATAAAATGAAAATAAGGCACTTCAATAGGCTCTTAAAACATGAAACGATTGTTATGTCAAAAAAATAATATTTTGAATGAAATGCACCATTGTAGTGCAAAAATATAGTATTTGTGGCTCCTCTCATAATATAAATTTAGTATGTAAATATAATATTTTGCATTGAAGATACTCTTATACCAAGTTTGGGTCCATTCACTCAAATACGGCCCAATAATAAACCAGCAAATCCGCTCACATACAGTAAGAAATTGGATAATTATTGGCCCAAACTCCAAAGAACTTCAATGATATATTGATATATATAAATATATAAATATATATATATATATATTCAGTAATGTATAAGTGTATAACACATTAACACAGTATATATAATATCTATATCCTTAAATAAATTATCTTCTCTTGGTGGGTATTTCATTTGTTCCATCCTAGGTCTTGGAGAGATCCTCGGTTTCCTCTGCGTCTCTCTTCATCCGATCATCAAACAAAAGGTAAACACGCTACGGTCAACTTATCTTCAACTCTATTTTCATTTTCTCATATATATATATTTATTTATTTTCATTTTCCTTTTTGTGAATTTTGTTGTCCATAATTTAAATTATCCATATCTTATATAAAGATTATGAAAACGCTCACTGACTCCGCAACACTCTTTATGTGTTCCCTGATGAAGGGTTTTTGGTTTCAGTTTGTGAACATCTTTGGGTTTTGACCATCTGGATCATTTTTCTTATTTTTATTTATCAAAATATAAAAACCCTTTTGGGTGTTTCTATTAATTTTGATTTTTGAACTAGTAATAATCACTAGCAGCCTATTTAGGATTTGTGTTTTGATGGCTCGGTTGATTCTGCCGTGCAAAGGTTCGGGTTTATCGAAGACGTGTCTCTTGGGTTTGATCTCCTCTGCTCCTGTGATTACCCAATCTCATTTATTTTAATTTTTTGATTATCTGGTTGATTCATTAATTATCCAAATAAGTGTAAATGTTTGAATTTGGATATTTTGAGTTTTCTTCTGTTCTACGAGTTTTATCTTACAGTCAAATGGAGCATAAGGGCTCTACTTGTTAATGATTTGACTGTCATTGTGTCTGTTGTATGTTGTTTTGGACTGCACAATCATTTTTTATGTTTGTTTTTTCTTCGTAAGATTGGTTTTATCTCTTTCTGGGATTGTTTAGTCCTTAGGATTTTAGATGTTGTTGGATTAGATTATTTTGAGTTCATAATAGCATTTCAGGGCAAATTTTGCTTTCAACAGCTATAGAAATACTCACAATATGATAAACAAATGGTGCTTTAAATTACCGCATTAGAGCTTTAAACTCCAATTCTTTTTTTTCTTTTTTTTTCACTAGCTAGTGTTTTCTCACTGCAGATTACCATTGTCTAGTTTTTAGCATTTTAAAGAGAACTATGTGCTTTTTCCCCCATCTCGGTCAATGTATTAACTTCTCTCTCTCCCACACACACCATCTTTTCCCACTCTGCTGTTTTACGGCTTTGGACCATTTTTAATTGGTAATTTGGCTGTTTGATCAATTTGAGGTAAAGAATTTGACTGGCAGCTCTCAGAGTGGTTTCTTTTTGTCCTATTGCAGCTTCAAGCCACTTGTCACATTAGTTCCATCGGGAATTCAGCAAAGAATCTTGCTAGATATAGGCAGTACCTTAATTTAGAGGTTTGTAATTTCCACGAGGAAGCTTTTACTAGCAAGGCTTTTGATGTGTTGTGCTTTTATATCTCTTTTAGTCATTTACAAGATTTGGAATTTGAGTAAATATTGCTAAAATCTCATCATCTATTCCTATGACAAGGTTACCCGAGGGAGCAATTATCGATTTCCATATTTTTCATTGCCTGTAAGATGTTATAACTAATTCTTCATTACCCTCAGAAGTTCACATTATGCTGTTTCTGTTGATATATATATATATATGTATATATATATATGTATATATATGTATACGTATTATTTATTATGTGAACTATTCATCCTATTTCAGAGGGCCAAGCAAGTCAGCAGGAGGCTAATTTGTTCAGTTGCAACAGACACATTATCAAAACAAGTTGAAGAATCCAAAATGGGCACTCCAAAAGAAATCTTCCTAAAAGATTACAAGATGCCTGATTATTACTTCGATGCGGTATATAAGCACTTATTCGAATTAGAATGTGCATTGTTTATAAGTTTGGATTAGTGGTATTGGCTTGTATTCTAATGCACATTTGTAATTATTACCCAGATGGATTTGAAATTTTCACTTGGTGAGGAGAAAACAATTGTCTGTTCCAAAATAACTGTCTTCCCTAGAGTCGAAGGTGATATTGCTTCCTTTTTTGGCCTTTTTTGCTCTAATACTTCAAAAGTTTCACTTATTTTATTCTGCAAAAATAATCAAATCGATATTGATATATTGCTTTTCTGTCCAGGTTCCATTCCTGAGTATGAATTCTAAGTTATCTTTTGGTAACTAACTTGTATTATGGAACAGGTTCTTCTTCTCCACTGGTGCTGGATGGGCAAGATATGAAGTTGGTTTCAGTCAAGGTCAACAGCAAGGAACTGAAGGTATGTACCCTGTTCTGAACCCTACCAAAGCTTCTGTGTGAATATTTCACCTGGTACCACTACCCGTATACCCCATTCTCCAAAATGGTTGCTAGTGCTTATTTCTTACTTTCTAGGAGAGATGTTTTTATTGGTTATGCTTCTCCCTATTTTCATTGCCCGACAAACTTACATATGCAACTTAAATTAAACACCAAGGATATATACCTTGTCAAAGTATATGCAACTTTTTTGAGTTCAAATTTTACAAGGTAAACTTTGCATTTCCTAACTGCCTTATATTTAATATGCTTCAGGAGGAGGATTTTTACTTGGACTCACGCCATCTGACTCTCCGATCACCACCAAGTGGTAGATTTACTTTGGAAATTGTGACTGAGATACTCCCACATATGAACACATCATTGGAGGTGGAAACATGCCTTTGTTATTCATAATATTTTCTTGTGCTGTATGACTCCTTTCTGTCGTGAAACAACAATAAATTCTTACTGCAGGGGCTTTACAAGTCGTCAGGGAATTTCTGTACACAATGTGAAGCGGAGGGATTCAGAAAAATTACATTCTATCAGGTTCATTATTTGGAGCAGTGATTAATTGTGGTTGTTCATTTTGGGAGATGTTAATTGCTCTGCACGTAGTTGATGATTTCAATTTACATTATCAGGATCGTCCTGATATTATGGCAAAATATACTTGTCGCATTGAAGCTGATAAGTTGTTGTACCCAGTATTGTTGTCTAATGGAAATCTCATAGAGCAAGGAGACCTTGAGGTGAATTTCAATTAATTTTTCATCAAATAGATGTTGGTAATATTACAACAACTTTTTAATAATTTTGTTCCACTTCAGGATGGCAGACATTATGTGCTTTGGGAGGATCCCTTCAAGAAACCTTGCTATCTGTTTGCTTTAGTTGCTGGACAGTTGGAGAGCAGAGATGACACTTTTATCACTCGTTCAGGCCGTAAGGTGTCCTTGAGAATCTGGACCCCTGCACAGGACCTACCCAAGACTGTTCATGCCATGTATTCTCTTAAGGCTGCAATGAAATGGGATGAAGATGTGGGTATCACTTTTCAGCAGTCCTTTGGATGTTGTATTTAGTCCACCTCATTTGCTTCACTGATAATTAATACTCTCTTTCTCTGTCTCACGTTGCCTTTTCAATCAGGTTTTTGGTCTCGAGTATGACCTGGATCTCTTCAATATTGTGGCTGTTCCGGATTTTAACATGTAAGTTGCAAATACATCACACTTCTCATGCATTACCTGTTTAGGGTGACCGGCATTTTGATGTTTTCCCTTCTGTTTGATTGCCAGGGGAGCCATGGAAAACAAAAGCTTGAATGTATGCTTCCCCAAATATTTTATCTCATTACTTGACAACTTCTGTTTCATCTTTCTAAGAATTTGCTTAACCGACTTTTGACAGATTTTCAATTCCAAACTTGTCTTGGCATCTCCAGAAACTGCTAGTGATGCAGATTATGCTGCAATTTTGGGAGTTATTGGTCACGAGGTAGGTCATTTATTTTGTAAAGGGAATGAAGTTTGGTCATTCTTTTTTCTCAGTGTTGATGAATTCAATATATAATGACTTGGCTTCCGTTTTTGTTATATTGCAGTATTTTCACAATTGGACAGGCAACAGGTCTGCTTATATCCTTAAATCCTTGCTTGAAGTACTGAAACATGTTATTTGGATAATACTTTTTATCTTGGATGTTCCCCAGTTTTCCAATTGTGTGCCTGCACCTCTCTGATTCTTAATAAATTATCATTATATGATTTTTTTTTTTTTTTGGGTGTGTGTGTGTGTGAATTGTAACACTGGGAATTGCAATATTTATCTTTCTTGAGGTGTTCTTTCATGTAAATTTGAATTTCTGGACTTGACAAAGCTACTAATAAGTTAAGCTGAAATTCCTGCAGGGTAACATGTCGTGACTGGTTCCAGCTTAGTCTAAAGGAAGGTCTTACTGTTTTCCGTGATCAGGTGCAGGCACATATTTAGTTACCAAGTGATATAATTGCAAACTGCCGGAAGTTCTAGTCTTACTTGGCTTTCTCATTTCTAATGCTTTGGCAGGAATTTTCATCTGACATGGGGAGCCGTCCTGTAAAACGGATCGCTGATGTTTCGAGGCTTCGAAATTATCAATTTCCACAGGTTTTTATTTTTATTCTTATTTTTTAAATCACATTTATTTTTATTTTTATATTTAGTGTAGTTGGGTAGGGGAGGGGGCTTGGGTGAGTGGGTGGTTTGGAAAATCAAATTAGTTACTAGAGCTGGAAAACTGAGCACTACTTTGATTGAATGGTTTAACATGCTGCATCGAAGTGTTGATATATACTCCTGATTTTCTAGGATGCTGGTCCCATGGCTCATCCGGTACGGCCGCATTCTTACATCAAGGTCTGAAGTCTTTTCCTTCGTTTAAGGAATCATTTAGTAAGTTATTAGTGTCCTCATTATTCAGTACCGACCCTGACATTGTTGCTAACTCTATTTACAGATGGACAACTTCTATACAGGCAAGTTTGTTATTTGAGTTGTAAAGATTGGCTTTCTGTTCTCTATTATTTGATATCGCTCAAGTTTGCATGTCTTATTTTTGTGACTTGGGGATGTTTTTACTTTTAACTGGGTATCTACAAATGTTTGGCTGGCTGTTGTGCTAAAATGTTGGATATTATGGCTAATTTGGGACTTCTTCTACTTCATCTTGCAGTGACGGTATGTTCTAACAGTTAGTCTTTGTGTACTTGTATCTCTCTGTTTCTTTTGAAAAAGATATCTAACTGGTGTCTCTTTGATTTCTCTTGTATCATGCTCTTGTTTACAGGTTTATGAAAAGGTATGGGACTCTGATATATTTGTTCTATTCTCTCTCCCTATATATCGTATGTGTGTGTAAACAAGGACCAATGTTTTCCATTATCCTTCTTATCAGGGAGCTGAAGTTGTTAGGATGTACAAAACCTTACTGGGGAGTCAAGGATTCAGAAAAGTAAGGACGGGAATGTGTCTAAGCCCGAGACTAATGATTATTTCTTTCCATGTGAGGCTGCTTCATCTTCATGAATTCAATAATGTATTGTTCACATTTCAGGGAATGGACTTATATTTTAAAAGACATGATGGGCAAGCTGTCACATGTGAAGATTTCTATGCTGCTATGCGAGACGCAAATGATGCAGAATTTTCTAATTTCCTGTTGTGGTATGTCACTGGCTTTTCTACTTTTGTAGTGAATTCACACTTCTTATGATGCTATACATTTTACGATGCTATACTTTTTACTGAAACATAATATACAGGTATTCCCAAGCTGGGACACCTCTGGTCAAAGTTACTTCTTCCTACAATGCTGAAGCTCATACTTATTCTTTAATGTTTAGGTATATGTTCTCAAGATTTGTTGCAATGTTTTCTACTTTCTTGGCTAATGCCATTTTTGAAAACTTGCGTTTCATTACTTATCCAAAAATAATAATAATAACTTGTGTTTAATTGGCATTTTCTCAGTCAAGAAGTGCCCCCAACCCCAGGGCAGCCCATGAAAGAACCCATGTTCATTCCTGTGGCTGTAGGTCTGCTGGACTCAGGTGGCAAGGACATTCCTCTTACCTCTGTTTATCATGATGGGAAGTTGAAGTCCGTTTCTTGCAATGATCAGCCTGCCTACACTACAGTTCTTAGACTAACAAAGGTTAGTTCAGAATCCCCAAGAAATTTTGCTTGCTCCTACTGCACCTTTTTATGTTTTGTGTCCTTGATCTGGAACTTGGTAGAAGAACCTGTTTGAGGCATGGGCTTTACTTTATTTTCCAGCATCCATATTCCTTTAGTCTTTCAGGCCAGATGTCTAATGGTTAGTTATATCTTATACTATTTAACATATGTTAATCAAGCACATGAATCTTGAGCTACAGGTTGGGCGGCTCCAACTCGAGGCTTGGTTGGGGTCAGCACGAGCAGCTGCTTATAACTTTAAGGTTGAACATGGGTTGAAAGCAACGCGACCAATTCTGCCCTAGTTGTGGCCACTCCTTGACATAGCAGAGATTCATGTAGCTTTATGACCTATCTTCCTTAGATCATGAATTATCTCAAGAATCAAAATAATCTAAGGTTTTGGTACTTTCAGTTTCCCACTTGTCATAATCGGAACACGGGAACATCGAGGTCCATCTTTACCCGATTCTAGTTTGCGGGCCCCAATACTGAAATGAAATAAATTCACTCATTTTTGTAGTTGAACAAGGAACAAGTACTTTGCCTCCTAACCAAATTTCTCATGCATGGTGAGAAAATATAATTAAATATTGCTATCATTATCTTAACGACCATATTTGTTAAACATCAGGCACCAAAAGAGGAGGAAAACATACTTTCAATGAACTGTTAGTTGAAAAGACTTGCCCAGGGTACTCTTAAAACAAAGTGGAAAGATGCCATATTTATGTTGTCCAAGCACCCCCAATATTTTATATTCAATATATAGAGAATCTCTTCTACCTTATGATATTAGATTCAGTAAACAATATGCAGATTGCTATTAATGGCCTAGGTTCCACTCTAATAATTAATGAAAAAGGTTAATGGTTTTCCTGCTCTTATCTTCATTACCAACTGAATTTGTGTTGGTATTAAGCAGAAAGAAGAAGAATTTGTATTCTCTGATATATCTGAGCGGCCGATTCCATCTCTATTACGGGGATACAGCGCTCCTGTCCGTCTCGACTCTGATCTTACTGAGAGCGATCTGTCTTTCCTCCTCGCTCATGATTCAGATGAGTTTAACCGGTATGCATTTATCATAGCATTCAGTTTCTTTTCTATAAAGCAACTAAGTAAGATGGATATTAAACAGATAAACCCTTTTTTTCTGTAATTTTTATTTATTTTTTTTTTTTTTGGGCTTTAGCTGGGAGGCAGGGCAAGTGCTGGCAAGGAAGCTGATGCTGAGCCTAGTGGCTGATTTCCAACAAAACAAGCCATTGGTTCTAAATCCACAGTTCTTGCATGGGGTCAAAAGCATACTCAGTGACTCAAGCTTGGATAAAGTAATAGTGACAAGTGTTTTTACTTATTTTTCCTGCAAAGAGAAGTGATTGTGCCAATCAAATTAATCTGCTATTTATTATATAGGAATTCCTTGCAAAAGCAATAACTCTGCCTGGTGAAGGGGAGATCATGGACATGATGGAAGTTGCAGATCCTGATGCTGTTCATGCGGTCCGATCATTCATCAGAAAGCAGCTTGCTTCTGAGTTGAAAGAAGATTTTTTCAGCACGGTATGCATATTTCAAGAACTTATATAAAATATTAGAAACTATAACAATTACACACACACACACACACACACACACACACATATATATATATATTGCTTAATTTATCGCCAGGGATTTAACTTGGTTTGCATACTTAACAGGTCAAAAACAACAGAAGCTCGGAGCTGTATGAGTTTAACCATACCAATATGGCAAGGCGTGCTTTAAAGAATATTGCCCTTGGTCTGTGTTATTAGAACTCTACTTTGTAAGCTTGGTGTAGAGCTTAGTTAACTAATTATATCTTTGTTTTTTGTATAGGATACCTTGCGTCACTTGAAGAACCAGAACTCACTGAGCTGGCATTGCATGAATATAAAACTGCCACTAATATGACTGACCAATTTGCAGCTCTAGCAGCCATAGCCCAGAACCCTGGTAAAACCCGTGATGAGGTTCTGGCTGACTTTTATAGCAAGTGGCAAAATGACTTCTTGGTAAACCTCTGCTTTACTAGTTCTTACATCACTTGAATGTGTGCCATTGGGGAGGTGATTGCCCTTTATTGTTGGAAATTCTTTCGTAAATATTAAAGTGCTTGTTGTAAAGCATAATTGAACTCTTTGGCTTGCTTTTGCTGTTCATGTTTGTATGAAAAAAAAAGTGATTTTTAATGTGAAATCTGTAAAGTATATTGACCTTCTTTAATTGCATTTGTATCATTGAAGTTTCATGTGTTTGTCTTAACTGATGCTTAGCCTCAAGTTAGCAGGTTACTTAGAAGATGGATTATGCACTTATTTGCTTCCAGCAAGGCATGTTTGGAGGCAACTTTTAAGGAAGGAAAGCTTATTATAACTTCTACAATGAACTTCTATAGTTTTTCTCTAGTTCTGATTGACAATAGGAAGACTTGAACCCTTAACCCTGTCCCTCCCTTTTAACATATGTTGCACATCATCTTGTGTGCTTGGGTGGGTGGGTTAGGTTGGAAGGTTATTTTGAGGTGTTAAATTTGAATGACTGACCCCCCACAACCCAACAATCCCTCCCTCCATGCGTTAGAAATTCTTTTTAATTGAAGTTGCTGCTGGATGCTCTGTTTAAAAGTCAATTCTTACATGAGTTCTGTTCCATTTATGAAACCCTGATCCCAGAGCATTGAAATCCTTTGTCTTCTGTTCTTGTCTTTTTTTCTTATAATGTTAGAGGAAGGGGAATACTAAAGTTGACGTGGGTAGAGTTAGGAAGGATATGATGATGTGGTTGACCTTAGAGCGGAATGGAAAATTAGGATTCATTTAGCGGACCCCAAGTAGGAAATTGCTTTGTTGAGTTTGAGTGTGAGGCAAACCAATAATCTGCTTCATAGTAGTATTAAATTACCGTCGGTCTATTATCTATCAACAGTTTAAAGTGATGCTTCTTTTATTTTTTCTTTACGCTTTTTTGGTAGGTAACAAGGGTGTGAAAAGCATTTCTGTCGTATACTGATTTGGTTTTAGACAGTGTTGATGCCTTTTAATTTTCATGCACACATGTACTTGCAAACTTTGTGCACATTGTTCTTAATTGATTTTAGTTACCTGTTACTTATCAAAAAAAATAATAATAATTTGATTTTAGTGACCTGCATATTGACATGTTTGTGGTAAAAAAAATTCTTGCCCTCACCCCCCAAGACCAAAAAAAAAAAAAAACAATGTTAAGAACCTCCTATTGACATGCTTCATGTCTATTCTTTTTTTTTTTCTTAGTTGGTACTCACACACACGTCTCCATGGAGGCTTGAACCCCTTACCTCCCAAAGGGAGGTAAGGGCTTGATACATTTTTCTTCCTATTCAAGAAAAGACCTAGGCCCTGTCTATTCTTGCAATAGTAATTTTAGATTCTTCCATTTGGAGAAGTAATTTTGTTGTCACCCTCTTCAGGTTGTGAATAAATGGTTTGCCCTTCAAGCTATGTCTGACATTCCTGGTAATGTTGAGAATGTTAAGAACCTCCTAAACCATCCAGCATTTGACCTGCGTAATCCAAACAAGGTACTCTCTCTCTCTCTCTCACACACACACACACAGAGTTATAGTTAATCCACTCCCTTTCTGCATGTATGTTCATTTTAGTTTATAAAGTTATATTGAATCTCGATTTCAAATGTGCAACAGGTATATTCACTTATCGGAGGCTTTTGTGGATCTCCTGTGAATTTCCACGCAAAAGATGGGTCAGGCTACAGATTCTTGGGAGAATTAGTGGTGCAGCTCGATAAACTGAACCCTCAGGTCTGTTAGATAAGAAAGTCTCTCACATGAATTGATTCTTGTTTTTCCTTGCATCTCAATCATAATTGAATCTCTTCTTGGATTGCAGGTGGCTTCCCGCATGGTGTCAGCCTTCTCTAGATGGAGGCGCTATGATGAAACCCGGCAAAGCCTCGCCAAGGTATTAATTATGTTGCCACAATTGTTCTATATTTGTTTTTTTGTTTGTGTGTGTTCTTATTATTTGTGCATTATCCTTTTTATAGGATGTTATTATAATATTCAAATGCCAAATTACTCTCAAGAAAGAGTAATCTTGTTTCCATATTCTGCACCCTCTAAACTAACACTTCATGGCTTCTATCAGGCACAGCTGGAGATGATCATGTCAGCCAATGGACTCTCGGAAAATGTGTTTGAGATAGCCTCCAAAAGCTTAGCTGCTTAAATATTTTCCCTTCTGTTTGAAGCGAGTTGTCATATATATATGTATATGTATGTTATGGCTTGTGTCATGGGATCACAATAAAATGACTTTTGCGTTTGGCAAACTGGAAGAATGTTTTATTATAAAAAGACCATTTTTCATTTGAAGTGCCAATTTATGAGTAATGTAGTTGAGAATGCTACTGTGTTTGGAGTTTGGGAACTCTGACTTGATGGTTATTGCTGAGGTACAAGCTTTGAGTTAATTGTTGCTTGTAACTAATTAAGGGTTCATTTGGATAAATATATAGATTTGAAATCAAAGAATTTGAATTCACATAGAATGTTTTGGTTATTGAAGTTGTTTTTTAAAACTCTCCTTCTCAATAGCCATGAGATGATCATCTCAGGGTGTTATGATAGCGGTTTAGGAGATTTTTATATTTATTACAAAGCAACTTGAATCTTTTTAGGTAACCAGGGAAAAAAAAAAGAAGAAAAAGGGGCCTTATGGGTATGAATTTAGAATAAATTTTCATGCCTCGTCATTTGAAATTTACATATGGAAAATGATAGGGACAGAGAATGGTAATTCCCAATGTGGTTTTGCCACTTGAGACTCTTTAAACAGGGCAAAAAATGTTGGTTGAATATTCACCATCACTGTAGGTTTATGCATGTATATACATATTTTTATATATGGAGGTTCTCCATCCCCGGGCCAATTTGAATATTATGTAGAACTTAATTTTGAATTAGTAGGCTCTAATTTGACTCTAAAATTTTATTGTGAATAATCTTTTCACAGAGAGAGAAAAGGTCGAGTAAATTTTCAGGAGCGAGAATGAATAATATTTAAGTCCCTAATTGTAGAAAGAGGTAATTTTTTTTTATAGTGTGAATTTCAGACCCAGTTTTAGATAGAGAAAATAAAGAAATTTTAAGGAAGAGAGAGAGAAAGTGAAGGGTCTTGGATTGAAGATAAGGTTGAATATTGAGGATATATATATATATTTATTGAACAATTTTTTATTATTATTATTTTTATTTATTTATGTTGAAAACTGTCTAAATAGATTGCTTTTAACACATTCCATTCGGGATTTTTATTGGGTTTCCTGTAACTACTCATTTGAATACAAGCTATATTGCTTCCACAATGAAAAATAAATCTGGAACCTTGTAGCTTTTTTTACAGTATGATCAATATATGATTTTCGTGTGTTACCTTATGGCCAATATTACTTTTTGGAGGGAACTATAAAATTTATTTTTATATTTTTTCATTTTTTCGGGGTTGTGTGAATCCATATTGAAACAAAAAAGTTCTAACCTGCATATAATCGATTCTTGGGTTAGTCAGACTAATCCCTCGTAATAAATAATAATGCTAAAATATAGAGCAGAATTTAGCAAAGAGTTGGAAGAGAATCACATGGCCAGACAAAGTTGGGACGTGGGCTTAAATCATTTATTATTACAAATACATTTTTATCAAGTTAATTCAATTATTCTTTGGAAAAAAAAAAAAAAAATGTCAATTGATCTAACATAGAGTGAAACATGAGCTGGGAGGCCTTGTTGCAATAGTAAAATTATTCCATTTATAACTTGGATGTCACGATTTCAAAATAGCCTAATGTCAAATTGTCTCTTCCAAATACTGCCTCGAAGCAAAGTAATAATTTTTTATATCAATAGCACTTAAATGACTTTCATTGTACTAGATATCAATCTCAAATTCTTAGAAATCTCCGAGGATGCTCTTGATTGTAAATGCAAAGATAAAAATTACATCTATCGACATGCATTAAACTCTTCTTAATTCCGTAACAGCAGAAGTCTCGTGACTGAATTAGCGCCTTACATTTGACCGACAACTAAAAGGACAAAAAATTTCATCGTTCCTCTTATAATGATATTAATAACATTAATCCTTTCATTTTCAACGTTTTTATATTATTGTTATATAATTATAGATTAGTCTTCTTCTTCACTCTTTCTATAAAACATTGTAGATATGAGTTGCACTAATTATCTTTTTAATGGGGCCGAAGGTTATACATCAAAGAAATCTAATGGGACATCTTTCTTTGGACGGAGTGACTGCAATAAGGCCCACCCTCATTGTCACTGTCACTGTCAAACTCATGGAGGAGTCAAACTCATCCAGTTTTTTCAATTCCCATTTTCTTCATTATAAGACTTAAAAATCTCCATTCAATGCGGGCATATAATTTGGCCATGTCGGCAAAGGTGGATGTATTTCTTCTTCTTCTTCTTCTTCGATGTTTTTAATACATGGAGTAACTCATGAACGAGCAATGGCAATGTTTCATGGATGAGTGTGTTCGGGAGAAACGCTGTCTGAGTTTCACTGCTGAGAAAGAAAACTCAGTGACCGTTGCAACGGTTACATTTTGATTTGAAATAAAGCCATAATCTCACTCCCGAGTTGGAAACCGTGTTGATGGTCTGCTAATTCAGGAGTACAAGTAGAACCGATCACATGCTTGAAGAAATGCGTAGGAGAAACCCTTTGGCATTAGATGAGGAAGATATTTGCTACGGCTTTTGATAAAGAATAATAATAGATTAGATAACTATTGTCCCCAAAGAACTTCAATGATGTATATATAGAATTTTTCTTTATTTAGTCATTGTATAAATGTATATTTATGAATTGTTAATTTTAGCATCATCTATAACTTTATATAAATTTTTCTTTCTCTTGGGGGCTCCTTTCAGTTGTTCCTCCATCCTGGGTCTTCGAGGGATCCTCTGTTCCCTCTGGGTCTCTCTTCATCTCATCATCGAACAAAAGGTAAACATACAACACTCAATTTATCTTCGAACTCTATTTTCCTTTTCTTATATATATATATATATATATATATATATATATATATATGTATGTATGTATGTATGTATGTATTTTTAATTTTTATTGTCCTTTTTTTTTTTGTGAATTTTTTTGTCCATAGTTTAAATTATCCAAATCTTTTGTAAACCTTATGAAAATGCTCACGGACTTGGGATCACTCTTTATGTGTTCCCTAATGAAGGGTTTTTAGTTTCAGTTTGTGAAAGTCTTTGGGTTTTGACAATCTGGGTCATTTGTTTTTTTTTTTTGTAAAATCAAAATTTAGACCCTTTTGGGTGTTTTTATCAATTTTGATTTTTGAACTAGTGATAATCCCTAGTAACCTATTTAGGATTTGTGTAATGATGGCTCGGTTGATTCTGCATGCAAAGGTTCGGGTTTATCGAAGTTATGTCTCTTGGGTTTGATCTCATCTGCTCCCAAACCCATTTATTTGATTTTTTTTATTATCTGGTTGATTCCTGAAGTATATGAAAATATGTAAAATAGTAAATATTTGAATGCTCTACCTGGTTGGGTTTGAAGCAACTGTTTCAATATTTTGAGTTTTCTTCTATTTTGCTAGTTGTATTTTATTTTGATATGAAATTTTTTTTTTTTCCGATAAGGTCTGCAAGTTGTATTTTACAGTCAAATGGAGCAGGGTTCATTATTTGTTGCTGATATAAATGCTTTGATTGTCATTATATGTGTTGTATGTTGTTTTGGACTTCACAAGTATCTTTTAAGTTCGTTTTTTCTTCGTAAGACTAGTTTTATTCACTTTCTGGGATTGTTTGGTGCTTGCTAGGATTTTAGATGCTGTTGGATTAGTTTATTTTGATTTCATAGTAGCATTTCAATGCAAATTATGCTGTCAAAAGCTACAGAAATAGTTACGATATGATAAACAAATGATGCTTTATTTTACATTTCAATGCAAATTATGCTGTCAAAAGCTACAGAAATAGTTATGATATGATAAACAAATGATGCTTTAAATTATCACATAAGAGCTTTAGAATCCAATTCTTTTTTTTTTTCTTTTTTTTTTTTTTTTTTTTTTTTTTCCATTAGCCAGTGTTTTCTCACTACAGATTACAATTGTCCAGTTTTAAACTTTTTAAACAGAACTATGTGCTATTCCCCCACCTTGGTTTATATATTAAATTTCAAGAAATCTTCTTTTTAACAATTAATTATCAACTAAATCAGGATTCATTTGAATAATAATGAAACACCCTCTCTCTTTCTCACACATTCTTTTCTCACTCTGCTGTTTTACGGTTTGGGAATGTTTTCAATTGGTAATTTGGCTGTTTAATCAATTTGAGGTACAGGATTTGACAGGCAACTCTCATAGTGGTTTCTTTTTGCCCTATTGCAGCTTCAGGCCACTTGTCGCGTTAGTTCCATTGAGAATTCAGCAAAGAATCTCTTTTGTACTTTTTTTTTCTTCTGAATACAGGTTTGTACTTTCCATGAGAAAGCTTTTACTACCAAGGCTTTTGATACACAGTGCTTTTACATCTCTTTTAGTCATTTACAAGCTTTGGAATTTGAATAAATATTGCTAAAATCTCATCATCTATTCCTATGACTAGGTTACCTGTAGGAGCAATTATTGATTTTCATATTTTTCATTGCCTATAAGGCTATAAGATTGTATGATTAATTCTTCATTGCCCTCAGAAGTTCACATTATGCTGCTTCTGTTGATAATTTTTTCTACTGATTATGTGGACTCTTCATCCTATTTCAGAGGGCCAAACAAGTCAGCTGGAAGCTAATTTGTTCAGTTGCAACCGACACATTACCAAAGCAAGTTGAAGAATCCAAAATGGACACTCCAAAAGAAATCTTCCTAAAAGATTACAAGATGCCTGATTATTACTTCGATGCGGTATATAAGCACTTCTTTCAATTAGAATATACATTGTTTATAAGTTTGGATTAATGGCATTGGCTTGTATTCTAATGCGCATATGGAATTATTACTCAGGTGGATTTGAAATTTTCACTTGGTGAGGAGAAAACAACTGTCTCTTCCAAAATAACTGTCTTCCCTAGAGTTGAAGGTTATATTGCTTCCATTTTTGGCCTTTTGTGCTCTTGAAAATATATAATATTATTTGCTGGAGTAATGTGTTCTTCAGTATTCTGCAATGCACAATTTTTTTACAAACTCCAAAAGTTTCACTTATTTTATTCTGCAAAAAAAATCAAATTGATATATTGCTTTTCTGTCCATGTTCCATTCCCAAGTTTGAACTCTAATTACTCTTTTGGAATGTTATTTCCGTAA